AGGCTGGTTTGGTGAAAAATGTGTGCGTTTAGGCCAGGGTTTGACTTCGTGTGGACGGGGCCAGAGTCTCTTGAGGTGCTGCTGGGACACATGTTTAATAATTCCCCACTTTATTTTAATGAAGAGTAACGTCTCAGTGTTTGCCGCAGAACTTGAGAAACAGCATAATAGACTTGCTAAAACTCACATGGTACTAAATAAACTAAACTGTTCTTACGCTAATGCGTATACTCCAACTTTCCAATGAGTTCAAGGGTTTCTAATGAGAAAAATATTTTTATTTTTTCATACTGCTCTGGTCTTTTGTCTGACCTATTTTTTAACTGAGTTGGTTTTTATGTTTCATTTATCTTCCGACAAAATACTTATTCATTATAGAAAGAAAAGCAACTAAGAAAAATGAATAAAAGGAGTCCCAGTGGATATTTTCTGTCCGGTTAGACCTGTCTGCTCATGTTCCCTCAGAGCTTCCACCTGCTTCTGCTGCTGCAGAACTTTCTGGTCAGGCAGGTTTTAATGGGAAGCCTTCCAGTCTGTTAGGTTGCATTTATGCCTACATCCTGTTTTATCTCCATGCATAATGTCATCTCTCTTCACAAACATTCAGAAGCACGCTCAGCTTCTTCGCTTTTGTATATTTGCAAACCGTTGATAAAAGGTTGTATGAGAAGATCACCTGGGAGCTAAAAATGTCCTGAAATTCTTCCTTTAAAAATGCTTGTTCTGCTTGTGACCCTCCGTTCTCCCTGCAGCTGAAGAAGCTGGGTGTGATGCCTCCAGAGCAGCCTCTGCCTGCCAAATGCTACAGGATTTATCAGGTCATGTGGGCCAACAACGGAGACACCATCAGCAAACAGTACGCAGGAACAGCGGCGCTGAAGGTAGCGTCATCTGCAAGTTAACACCAATGATTCAGCAGAAAAACTGTTACAATAAGAGATGTTCGTTTTAATCAGCATGCTGTTTGTTCTGCTTTAGGGAGACTTCACGAGGACAGGGGAGAGGAAGCTGGCCGGCGTGATGAAGGATGGTGTGAACTCTGCCAACCGCTACTATCTCAACCGCTTCAGAGACGCGTACAGACAAGCAGTCATCGGTAGGGGACGTCAGACCGACGGAGTGAAAACCCTCGCTTTCAAGTTGTGTGCATTTGATGAACCTGCGCCTCCCTGCAGATCTGATGATGGGTTTGCCCGTGACGGAGGACCTCTACTCCATCTTCAGTAAGGAGAAGGAGCATGAGGAAAAGGAAAAGGAGAGCCAGCGAGGAGCCCAGGAGCAGGTGGGCCTCCTGCTGCAGACATACATGCAGCTCCTGCTGCCGGACGATGAGACGTTTCACGGAGGCTGGGCTCTCATCAACTGTGACATGAGGTCAGTGGTCAGTTGATGCGTTCATCGGTTTAGTGCGGAGCGAAATCGACCCAAACTAGGGGTGGAACGGTTCACAAAATCCACGGTTCGGTTCACGGTTTCGTGGTCACGGTTTTCGGTTCGGTATATGTTAATTGTTAGCATGACATGTTGGTCATGTTGCTGTTAACATAAACAAAACGTGTTGCACAATGCTTGCACACTGTTGCACTTTTATCCACAACTGTCTTTTCGCTGTCATCGTAGGTCACTCTAAATGCAAACTGGTCCCATTCAGCCGACCTAT